TAAATTATAACAATTACTTTATGAAAAATAAAACAATATATCAACAAAATAACATAAAAAGTAATACTTTTAGATAAATATTAATTATATATTAAAAAAATAATAAAATAAATTCACTACTTATAGTAATCAATCAAATAATTAATAATTATACTGTAAATTTACCTACTAATTACTTAATCAAAATAATAATAATTTACTAATCAATTAAACAATGTAATTATAACTTAAAAATAATAACTAATCAATTACTAATAAATTAATTTAATTATAATTAATTTACATATCATTTAACTAATATAATCATAGTTTATAAATTAATTTAATAATATAATAATAATTAATCAACCAATTAAGCAATTTACTTATAATTTACTAATTAATTAATAAAATACAAATAATTTACCAATCAGTTAAACAATATAATTCTAATTTACTAATACATATTAATATTATATTTTTTTCCCTTAATTAAATTTCAAAAAAAAAAATTAACAAAAGATTAGAACATACTTATAAAAACAAATACTTCAAATTCAAGGAAATCCAAGTGAAATTACAACCAAGCTCTTGATTGCGAACCTACAAACAAATAACAAGCAAAAACAATTAATGAGTTGAAAAAAGGTCAAAAACTTACAGATCTAAATATATCAACTAATTTAAGAAAAGTAGAATAATATAACAAAATGAGGTAAAAAGAATGATGGAGACAAGTGGTGGTAAAAATGCAAAATAAGTAAAAGTGATTCACTTGAAAAATAAAAAAATAATGAAGAAAAGAAAAAACAAAAAAAGGGGGAAATGTTGGATCTTAATAATAATCCAGCCACAAATGAAGATACATAGTGAGTAAAAGAAAAAAAAAGGGGGAAAAATACTACATCCTACGTAATTCTACATGAAAATAAAGAAAAATAATGAGTAAAAGAAAAAAAAAAGGGGGAAATTCTTGGTTTTAGGTTATTTTTCCAAAATTAAGGCCAATTTATTAGGAAAAAAGAAAAAATATTAGTTCTTACCTACTCATAGTTAGATGAAATTAAAACATTTACAAAATGTCTCTTAAAAACTAATTAAATCAAAACAAACCCATAATTGCAACTGGAGAAGCAAAACAAAAGCAAAAGGATCAAGAAGGAAACAAATTGAAGACAGTTTCTGATGGAGAAGGAGAAAGGAACAAGAGAGAAATAAATTAAACACAATTATGATGGAGATTGAGAGAAGGTGCAGTGTAAAAGAGTTTGGCACCATTTCGGTCAAGCCTTATGATCGAAATATGGTGGGCCCCACAAGCTATCAATCAATCATCTGTAATGCGCTCACTTTCAGACAAAACAAATGATTGAAAAAATCTAAAGCTACACTCCAAATTTGTTCGGTCAATCCCATTGACCGAACCAAAACTGCAAAGCTGAAGCCTCCATCAAATCGGTACTTACATTGCACTTTTTCGATTAGTTTTACTGACCAAAATAGAGGAAAAAATTCAGAGGCTAAAGCCTTCCAACAACTTCCATCAAATCACAGTCATATTGGTATTTTTCGGTCAGTAAAACTGATCGAACCAAGATGGAAACGTGAAGCTTCCTACATACTCCATCAAAACCATGAGATTCGTGAATCTGGTTCAGTAAGTTTTATTGACCAAAAAAGAGAAGAAAAAATCAGCAAACCTGTAGCTTTCGCCAGTATCAATCAAATCAAAACTAGGCATAAGGTTCGGTCAATAAAAATGACCGAAAAAAGTAGGAAAGAAGCCTGAAAAATTGCAACTTTAACTGGTTTCCATCACATCATAACCATGATCTTTTTTACTATCATTATTATTGATCGAAATAAACCGAGTCAAATTATTTTAAAGATTTTTATGAATGTGCGATTTTTTCCTGTATTGTTTCAGTCAATTTGATTGACCGAATTGTTTTTCAGTCAATCATACTGACCGAAGATGACATTTGGGGAACTCCCCCCACATTAATTCGGTTGAAATGCTTAACAGAAATAAGTTTTAACCGAATTAATCATCAAACAATATAAAATGGACAATTTTGTGTCTCGGTCAGTAAAAATGTCCAAAAATAAGTCTTTTTACAATCAAGCAAAATAATATGTCCGAAAAGAAGGTGTTTTCTAGTAGTGTGAAATAAATGTGAAAACTAATAAACAGAATTAAAATAATTTAAAAATAATAAATGAAATTGAAAAAAATATAAAAATTAATAAATAATTTGTTAAATTAACCCATAAAAAATTCCTTAAAAGAAGTCTCAGTAATTTTTCTCAAGAAAAAGGAGGACTGGGGGAAGTGGCACTCCCAGGGGAGCTTTGCCGCCCATAATTAATCTTGAGATTAATGAGAACCCCCAAAAGAATAATTCAAGTCACAAGCCAAATGAAAAAGGCTGACCACAAAGTCAGAAAGAAGGTGGCAAGTGCGTAAGTCCATAGCATGATCACGGAGCATTCACTCTGACCAGCACCAAGCAGTTGGGAAATTGTACCTGCTATAAAAATGTTAATCCTCAAACAGAGTTCCTGAGAAGAAAAATGCAGTAGCAATATCAGTAAGAAATAAACTTAGGGCATGTTTAGTGCAGATTGTGAGAAGAGCTTTTTAGCTCTAAAAGCACAAGTTGTACCAAACGGATCAGCTTCCTAAAGTGGCTGCAGCTTTTGAGAAGCTCAGCTTCTCACTTTTACTTTGCAAAGGTCGGAAGCTCCCATTTCTTACTTTTACGGCAGATTCCGGGTTTTGAATTAATGAAATTGACATGATATCCTCATTTTATCCTCGCACTTCCTTTTATTTACAAAAAAACCACTATATAATGTTTCAAAACACTACATTTCTGTCCCATTCTTTACTATCTTCTTCCTCATCCAATTCAATCAGAGAAACAAACAAAAATTCTTCCTCAAACAGAAAATTCTTCCTCATCCAGTCAGAGAAACAAACAAAAAATCCTTACCGAAAATCCCTCATCTACGAATCCAGGAGCTGAATTCGCGACGAACCCTGCGCTTGGGTTTCGGGATGAACCCAATGCCTAGATTCGCAATGAACCTTGTGCCTGGGTTCTAAGACGAACCCAAGAGCTAGGTTCACGACGAACCCCACGCCTGGGTTCGTCTCGAAACCCACGCCTGGGTTCGTCTCGAAACCCAGGCGCTGGGGTCGCCAGGAACCCAGCGCCTGGGTTCGTCACGAACGCAGGGGCAGGGTTCCTC